GGTTCTGACCCACGAAAGCTTATGCTCCCAGTACTTCTGTTAGTCTCAAAGGTGCCACAGGACCCTCTGTTGCTTTTTACAGATTCAGACTAACACGGCTACCCCTCTGATACTTGGTCACTAAGCAACACAGAACTTTAATCCAGATTGCTACTTATCCCAGGGTCCAGTGTCACAGCTGTATCAGGTCATCTGATCAGAATTCCCATTGAAATCAGAGGGGATCTACACTTCAAATCCGATGGCACAGTATACCCTGGATGTGCAGTTGTCCCACGGGAATCACTTGCTCAGGGAGAATCAAGTGCCTCTTACCTTTATTTCTTCTCCATTTTGGCTGTGCTCCCCCTGTAGCTTCTCTCTCAGCTTCCCAAGCTCTGCCCTCAAAGTGCCCATCTCCTGTTCCTTGGTTTGCAGATATGCTTCCAATTCCACCTTCTGCTCAATCAGCGCTTTCCCTTGAGCCTCAACTACTGTGATTCTGTGCCGAAGGTCGTGATTAATTTTCATTAGCCTGTTCTGTTGTTGTTGCAGCTGCCATAAAGTGACACAATAAGTATGCCTCCATTAAACCAGGGTAAATTAAATCACAAGTATTAAATTAAAGAACTAGCAATAGGTTCCTGTTGTATTTATCTTGAAAGATCTCCTTTATTTCACATTCATTTTTAACCATTTAATTAATCTGCTACAGTTGCAGTCTCCACAATTGGCTTTCAGAGTAAATGGAGATTTTTTTCTCCTGCAGCACAGAACATTATCCTCCAGGCACATCCAGCTTTTCAAATGCTACATTTTTCTTTGGAATCTATTTCAGCAAAGCAAGGTTCAGGGACTGGGTGTCTCATGGGATACTGGCTCAAGCTTTGACCTAGATTGGAAGCGGTCAAGGTTATTACTGTCTGATTAGTATCAATCTATGTACGAAGATGCCAGGATTGTCACTCTGAAGCCTGTTGGGTCAGTGTGACGTGATGGAAATAGCGACAAGCATGGTATTAGCATGAGAGCTTGTTTTGTTTAGAATATCACCAGTTTCAGTTATTACTGGGTTTCACAGTCTCTCACTGTCCAGTTTTTAAGTTCTGAGCCATTTTTGGCTTTTTTACACTTTATGAATTACATCTGGATGACAGCACAAGCTTTCACCTAATTACTTGTACCGTGGTAGTGCTTAGAGGACCCCAACCAACATCAGAGCCACACTGTGCCAGGCGCTGTACATACACGTAGTTCGAGACAGTCCCTGCCCTGCAGCGCTTACCATCTCAATAGACAGGACAGCCACAGGATGGAATGGGGAACTGCGGCAAAGAGACATTCTGTGACTTACTCAAGGTCACAGTTTGGGGCAGAGTCAGGAACTGAACGCAGGTCTCCTGAGTCCAGTCCAGAGCCTGAGCACAAGCCCGTCCATCCTCTCCTTGATGACTTTCTGGTAGTGTATGTGAAATGATGTCATGGTTTCACTCCGTTTCTAGGGAGCAGGTGTCCGCGTCACAAACAGCACCCCAGTGGGGCTTTCTGGTTGACAGGCTCAGCAGAGAAAAGCAAAGCTTAATGGGCCATGCAGCCCTCTCCTGTCCACAGCTGATGCCTCCAAGGGCGAAGTTGGGCTACGTGAGCTGCGTGGAAAAGTTTGCGTTCCCTAAGTGGAGATTTTCTAAAGGCTTTAGAGGAGTTAGGTGCCCAGTTCACACTGAAAGTCAATAGGAGTTGGGCACCCAATTCCCCTTTGGGCCTATGAAAAATCTGCTCCCGTCATTCTTGGTTTCCAGTCATGCCCACAATGTGCTAGGTTCTTTCCAGACACAGAAGAGGGTTTGGTGCCTGCCCTGAAGAGTTCACAGTTTTTTTACCTCTTCTATAGATACACAGAGGACTTGACTCTTCAGGGATAATAATCTGGCCATCCTTCACAAGCACTAAATTAATTTAAAACTGGTTATAAACATCTGTGTGGTTCCTTCGAGGGGGGAGGGGGGGGAAGAGCAAGAAACACTTACTGCCTCCACATCCTCATTTTTAAGTCCCAGTTCCCGGTCCTTGGCTCTAATCTCATCCCTTTGTTTATCTACCACTTCCTTCAGCTTCTTCATCACTTGCCTCTCCCTCTCCGACATTCCTGGTTTAAAGAACACAAAACAAAGAAAATAAACTGAGAATGATCATGACAATGGGGAGAAACATTTGGGAAAGGCACTGGACATAGTCTGATTCAGCCAGCAAAGGGGGAGAGGTTGTTGGTTAAATACCCTGGATAAAGAAATTAAGGTTATTTAGCCAATATACTGGATCCATGGATGATGGGAAAACAGGCTATACAGTTCACAGGGCGAACCACAACATTGAAAGTGATGCTTCTGATATATTTATAAGCAAATGTATGTAATACCATTACTGTGCTTCTATATGATATATCCAGTGGTGATATGTATGTACGGATCCCATGGATGAATGGCCTGTAATCTAGTTAGCACTCCCTAAAAGGTTTTAATGAAGAAAAAAGTTCTCTCTGGAGTGGGAGATGGCATTTTGCATTGGCAAGATCTATTCAGATTTTATACGCATGCCACTATACTGGGGCCTGAACTAACATTCTGCATCTCCATTTCTAGTTTCCTAGATCCTGCAGTCCAAAGTCAGAGCAAATTTAACAGGAGTTTAACCTGAGTTAGGATCATGCCATATATGTTTTTTCCATTCTAACTTCTTCTCTCATTCCATTGTAGTGATTCAGATTTAAAATAATTACACTTTACAAGGCGGGAAAAAAAAGATAGAATTCCCTTGTAAAGCCTGTTTGAAGTGCTGTCAAAAATCTCTCCACCAATACTGTTTAAAGATTAACAAGGGATTAAGTTAACTTGTAGTTTGACCAACAATTCATTAGGATAATATCAGAATCACAAAACTGGAAACTCTTCCCCCATTAACCACCTGAATGGAGAGACGATAGAGCACCTAAGGACTGCAGTTGTGGGCAGTATAGCAACAAAGAGAACAATAGCATATTGTCCTGCTAATGTAACCAAGTGTTTAAGATGGTGAGGTTATAAATTCATTACAATTGCTTCACAGCTAATCATCATCCTTCTACAGAGACCTGCAGTTTGATATTCTTAACAGATCAAGTAAAATAATTTTAAATTGTATCTAATACAGATACATAATTCTGTGCCAGTGAACAGGTGCCTGGGGCTAATGGGCTATTAACAGGAACACTGAAGATGCCCTGGCCAAAGTGCAATTTAGTGGTTAAAGCAGGAATCTGGGACTCAGAATCCAGGGTTCTTTGCGTAGTCCTGCCACTGACTGGCTGTGTGACCTTAAGCAAGGCACTTAACTGCTGTTCCTTAGCCTTCCCCTCTATTAACTACAGATTATAATAATTTACTTACCCCAATGGGGTAACTGTGAGGCCAAATTCAAAGCCCTTTTTAACAACTATGGCAAGTCTCAGTTGAAATATGCTGT